GAGAGCTAGTCTCTTCTACCGCTGGTGTCTCTGAGGGAGTGGAGGGACTAAAGTGATTTGATTATGAGTGGGCTGGAGTCACACTCTGTGACATAATTCAGGGCTGAGGCGTCTCTTTATCCCTCTACTCACTGAGTAAGAGTCCTACTCTAAATTATACACTGAATGTTAACAAGTGTGCCTCAGAGCCGTACCTCCCCCTCTTTAGCCCAGTCCTGGATCAGCCCCCCCTCTCTGTCTCTGGTGGGAGGGCAACAGTGTGTTTCAACACTCAGCCTCACACACCTGTCTCTTCTCTCCTCTACCATTGAGCTTCAGTGCCTCTCTTCTGGCTCGGAGACTCGGTGAGGAGTATTGCAAGTTGCCATTGTTCGTGTGTATGTCTTTTTGAGGGTTAGGTAGATATCCCCTCTTAGGAGTTTTGAACTTGTGAGATTCCTCCCTTGCTCCCTGACTCACAAGAGCAGCATGGGAAGTGAGTCGTTAGGGAGGAGACTGAAGAGTAGCTCTTCCTTCCCTTATGTTGTGAAGCTGGCAAAGTTCCTCTCCTCTTCCTCTTCACTAGATATCCACTCTCCATCTCTCTCTCTCTGGCACAGGAGATCACTGCAAGTTTTATGTTCTGAGTCAGGCTTTTGATGCTGAGGGGGGTTTCTTTGGCTCACAGTGTGTGTGTGTGTGTGTGTGTGTGTGTGTGTGTGTGTGTGTGTGCGCAATGTACTCGCCCATGTTTCTGAATGAGCTTTTGGAGCTGAGGAGTCCTGACTCGTTGGGTGTGAACATGTGTTCTGCTCTGTTTGCTTGGAGGCTCTACAATATGTGTGGGTCGGTGGGTGGGTGGCTGGTACTCATCAACATGCTTGAGACTCCTCACACCCAGATTGGAGAGAGCCTGGGAATGAGTGAATGTGATAACCTGTGGAAGCGTAAGGTTCCTTGAGTAAGCCTGCTCTTCGGGAGCTGTTTGGCTGGTTGGCTGCTCTGAATCCTCTTTGTGGTCTGAGAGGGGGATTGGAGGCTGTCAGTCATGTGCTGCAGGCTGGAGCGCTCCGCCAAGGTCTGTCTGTGTGCGCCACGGCTGTGCTGCAGGGAGATAGGGCTCCCACACACACCAGGCTGTAGCCCGCAGCAGCTAGCCAGAACCCCCACCCACCACAAGCCTTCCTCCAGCCAGCACCACCAGCACCCCCCACCTCAGTGCATGGCCTCTCTCCAGCCTAGCTCCCCCACCTGCAGAGTGGCAGTCCCTAAGCCAGCTTCCTCTCTCTCTGAGTGACACATCCTCCAGCCAGCGTCCCCAGCAGCACTGTGACATTTCCCCCTGCTGTGTCCATTCGCAACATGACCTATCCTTTAGTTAACATTCAACACACAACTACAACCTGTCACTAGGGTAGCTGGTTAACCCCAAAATGTATGTTGTCTACTATCCTCTCCTCCAGCCCTGACAGAGACTGTGGTTACTTAAGCCGGGCGTGCACTAGACGATTTTGGCCCCGATTTACGGTTCGGGTACATTTTTGAGATTAGACACAAAATCCCAATGTTGTTGCCTACTCTGGGCGTGGGGCCGTCACCGATGCTCGTTTAATGTGAGCGGGTCAGAGACTCAATCTGAGGGCTACTGATCCTGTCTTTGAGCCGTCCCAGACGCCCTGATATTTTCAAACACGTTTGATTTTATCGGCACAAAATCTGCAATGCTGTTGTAGTGAGATGTGCAACGACAACTTTTGAGAACGGTGATCAGCAACAGCCAATGAGAGCTCGCCAGAGAAGAAGCCAGTGAGATGATGACATGTTTTCGCATCACCCAGAATGTGTAGACTCTCTAGCAGGAGCGATGACTACTACTAGTATGCGTTTGTACTTGCCTTTATCCAAAGCCAAAGTGTCAAATCGTTACAGCTCTAAAGTTCACAAGCAATGTTATTAAATTCAATGTATTGGCTAGAGATTTCAACTCTGTATGGCAAGCGTGGATCTCTGACTGAAAACGTTTATGCGGCTGCTTTGAGCCACAGCTCATTCTAGCTAAGTTAACGATCTAATCACATCAAGTGAAGAATCTTGTAGTGTGACCCCCTCGTCTGTGCCAGATCGTTTAGTATGCACACCGCTACGTTGGCAAGACAAAAAACTACAGGAAAGACCAGTTGTTTAATGTGAGGATTTTGAAAGTCGTGTAGTGTTCGCCCGGCATTAGTCTGAGCTTGAATGGAGAAAAGAGAGAGAGATGCACGTGTTTCTTTCTTTCATACATTATTACCTTGACTAAACAGAGATAACCTTCCTGAGCTCACTCTGGCATTCAGTTAGAGGGAGAAGCTGCAGTGTGTGTGTGTTTGAGACAAAGCTGGTACAACAGTTCACATGGGGACAGGTCAGAGCTCACACACTTTCTGCTGACTATTGTGTGTATCTGAATCTTTTGTGTATCTGAATCTTTGGCTCTGTGCCTGACAGTATAGAGAAAGACCCTTGGGTCCGGTCATGGTAGCCCAGTTAGAACAGGGTTTCCCAAACTCGGTCCCCGGGCCCCCACTGGGTGCACGTTTTGGTTTTTGCCCTAGCACTACACACCTGATTCAAATAATCAGTTGGTTATTTGAATCAGCTTTGTAGTGCCAGGAGTTTGGGAAACCCTGAGTTGGAACAACATTTAACTGAACTGCTTACTTTTAAATGTCCTGTTTATAATCTCTTTATGCATTGGCCACATTTAGAATCATATCAAAAGAGTAATTCTGGTGAACCAATATACACCTTCATCTGATTACTCTGTCAGTTTGTGTGTGGTCTTCTAGTGTGTGCCCTCTCATTAGTGGACAATTCCAAAATTGCAACGCCTTCCTCAGCTCCCTAATACCAGGGAGAAGAGCCAGGACAGTGCACAGAATTCAAACTCCATTTTAATGTTCATGGATGAAGTCATTAGCTTTCCTTTGTCCTTTTTCCAGCACGGTAACACCTCTAAACTGTGATTTTAAAAGCCCTCTCCCTCTTCTCATTACCGACAAGAGGCTTACACAGAGCAAATTGTTTTTCTTTTAAATAGCATCATTAAGCCGTCTCTCTCTGCTCACGCTCTCTCCGCTGAGTGACTTTTCTTTCGTTTTCAGTAGAACTGTACAGTGAGGGAAAGAAGTATTTGATCCCCTGCTGATTTTGAATGTTTGCCCACTGACAAAGAAATGATCAGTCTATAATTGTAATGGTAGGTTTATTTGAACAATAAGAGACAGAATAACAACAAAAGAATCCAGAAAAACGCATTTCAAAAATGTTATAAATTGATTTGCATTTTAATGAGGGAAATACATATTTGACCCCCTCTCAATCAGAAAGATTTCTGGCTCCCAGGTGTCTTTTATACAGGTAACGAGCTGAGATTAGGAGCGCACACTTAAAGGGAGTGCTCCTAATCTCAGCTTGTTACCTGTATAAAAGACACCTGTCCACAGAAGCAATCAATCAATCAGATTCCAAACTCTGAGCAGTAGATCTAGGCTTGCATTTTGACTCAGAAAGTGATCTTGACTCTGAAAAGGTTGGTGACCACTGATCTACACTGATTGAAGTGGATTTAACAGGTGACATCAATAAGGGATCATAGCTTTCACCTGGATTCACCTGGTCAGTCTATGTCATGGAAAGAGCATGTTTTGTACGCTCAGTGTATGTGTCCGAGTCAATACCCTGCTATTGTCTCACAAAGCTGATGGGAGGGATCGATCTCACACATACACCAAGGTCTCAGTGTGACGTCCATATTAACAGTTAGCCAACTGGTTTTACTAGCACTGTGAAGTGGACTTCCAATCAGTGTCACTACAATGGACAAGCCTCTTTATTAACAGAAATGTATACAGTACCATATTTCTACCTGTAATGACATATTCTGACTTTCTCAGCTTCCTTTGTCCCTGCCAGTCAATTTAAATGATAGCTCTTATTTTTTTTAAGTGAGCATCTCTGTAGGATTGAAACAATTACATTGGCTTTTACAGCAACTGCTCGAAGCTGCTCGGTGTAACCTGCTCTATCATTGCAATCAATTACAGAAAGCGGGAACAGGGCTCAAAGCAGGGTCACGCTTTCATTTCAGAGGAGATGGTCTAGTTGTTCCTAATTTCAAACTGTTACAATGGAGATTCGTGGAAGGTAATATATACATTCGCTGAAGATGGTGTACACTTATGCTTTATTCATAGACAGGCATTTAACCCCAGGCTTTTAGGCTCTATACTAAGGTTAAATGTGTAGATAATAGCTAGGCAGAACACACTAAGTGTTTTTTTTTATGTGGACTAAAGATCCTGCTTTAATCAGTCGTTGAATCTTTTGCTTTCTGCACATCGTAAATGTAAAAACAGACTTCCATCTGAGTGTGGGTCCAGACCCGCCATGCAGTCCAGCCACATTTATTCTGATTTGTTGCCGTGGTGCTCTCTTTGTTTACCGTAAAGCGGGTGATTTATGTCGGCTGCGCTTGGCAGGGCCTGAGCGTGGGCCAGTGGCGAGGACGTGGTGGTGGTGGTGGAGGAGGTGGGGGGCGGTAGACGCCTCTGGACTGGGCGATGGTAGGAATAGGATGGTCTGATTTGTGTATTTTATGAGTCTTGTTTATGGGTCTGAAGGGCTCTAATGGCTCCTCTTTTATGAGTCTTGTTTATGGGTCTGAATGGCTCTAATGGCTCCTCTTTTATGAGTCTTGTTTATGGGTCTGAATGGCTCTAATGGCTCCTCTTTTATGAGTCTTGTTTATGGGTCTGAATGGCTCTAATGGCTCCTCTTTTATTAGTCTTGTTTATGGGTCTGAATGGCTCTAATGGCTCCTCTTTTATGAGGCTTGTTTATGGGTCTGAATGGCTCTAATGGCTCCTCTTTTATGAGGCTTGTTTATGGGTCTGAATGGCTCTAATGGCTCCTCTTTTATGAGGCTTGTTTATGGGTCTGAATGGCTCTAATGGCTCCTTTGTTTTCCCCTCCATGCAGCCGGCCAGCTGAGCCAGTCGGCCCACCTCTCCCTGCAGCTGCCTTACACCGTCCTGGGGCTGGGGCGCAGCGCCAACTTCCTGGACCACCTGTACGTGGGTATCCCCCGGCCCCTCGGGGACAAGGTACAGTATGGTGCGCTGCAGCACTGGGGGAGGGGAGCGGAGAGGAGAGGAGGGACATGCCAGACAAACACAGATAGGACAGGATGCAGTAGGAGCTACAGATGAAGTAGGAGCTACACAGGTCTAATAACTACAGCAGGGAACTGATACTGTTTCTAGTCACTGCACCCATGTGGAGAACACACCCAGAGCCACTGATAGTGACACTAACTCTACTGCAGGTTAATGTAAATGTTTCTTCCTGTTGCAATATGATAAGTTGATGGTCTATTATGCATTAAATAATTCATTATCTTCTTCGTTCACCCACTTTTGTGCTACCTCAAACATTGGCATGTGGTTTGGGTTTGTGTGGAGCGACAGCCTTCTCTCTCATATCGCGTGCCGTTTGAAATGCTGTTTGTTGGTTCCTCGATAGATTCCCCTGCGCGGCTTAGTTGAATTTAAGACGCTCTCTCCCGTTCCTCGCCTGTCAAAGAATAGAACAGAGGTCTTCATCAAAACGGATTTGCATTGCAAATTTCTGCCCATACCTTACTACCTTGGGAGCGAGGCTCGTACTGAGGAAAGCAGCTGAAGTACAGCAACGTGCTTGGTTGTCGCTCGCATCCTTTGAGTTATGCAAGAAAATGTTTCCACTAAGGTTCACATTTCCCTACACAGCAGTTAATAAAATCTTTATAATGCTTTGTATTATGCTAACCAATTTTTACCTTCAGAGGGTGTATGAATATGGTATCTTCAGTGCTACCTGTGCTACATACAGTGTACAAAACATAAAGGACACCTGCTCTTTCCATGATATAGACTGACCAGGTGAATCCAGGTGAAAGCTATCAGTGTAGATGAAGGGGAGGTGACAGGTTAAAGAAGGATTTTTAAGCCTTGAGACATGGATTGTGAATGTGTGCCATTCAGAGGGTGAATGGGCAAGACATAAAATGTAAGTGCCTTTGAACGTGGTATGGTAGTAGGTGCCAGGTGCACCGGTTTGTGTCAAGATCTGCAACGCTGTTGGGTTTTTCATGCTCAACAGTTTCATTTACATTTACATTTTAGTCATTTAGAAGACGCTCTTATCCAGAGTGACTTACAGTTAGTGAGTGCATACATTTTTCATACTGGCCCCCCGTGGGAATCAAACCCACAACCCTGGCGTCGCAAACGCCATGCTCTACCAACTGAGCTACACAGTTTCCTGTGTGTATCAACAATGGTCCACCACCCAAAGGACATCCAGCCAAGCATTGGAGTCAACATGGGCCAGCATCCCTGTGGAACGCTTTCGACAGCTTGTAGAGTTCATGTCCTGACGAATTGAGGTTCTGAGGGCGCACAATATTAAGAAGGTGTTTTGTACAGTCAGTATACACATTTAATGAACAGCTGTGTCTATCTCACTGTCTCTGTGAGAGTTTGGAGAGGATAATATCTGTCTCTCAGGTCTGTCTCCAACCCTTCCTCACAGGGTGAAAAATGTAGGAGGCCATTTGAGGGTTTTGAGTGTGTTCTTCTACTCTCTCCTCCTGTACACACTTCTCAATCCCATGAGGTTTACTTCACTAATCAAGATTCCCTCTCTGCTCTCGCCTCCCAAAAACCCCACTTCACTCCCAACTTCAGACCCAGCGCTCTCCTTTGAAACATTCTCTGAAAACCCAGAAACGCTTTCCTCCTCTAAAACACAGACGTCTTCTCTTAGCCAAAGTGCCAGAAGCGCAGCCTGTCACTGTCTCTCACCGCCGTTCTGCATAAACCACACTGCATTGAAGAGCAAAATGTCAGCATTAGCTTTAGTAGGTTAAGAACTGCGACTACTAATGAACTAACACACTGTGCACAGTGAAGTAACACGATAAGGTGACTCATTCAGTGCATCATTATTCTCCTTAACCTATTTTACCTCAAACACAAACAATCACTAGCAATTATAAAATCGAAATCCCTGAATCTGCTGCTCTGATTTGCTTTGAGTCTTTGCCTTACATAGTATTTGTATCTCTGAGCTATGTAAGTATGTCATGCTCTTTAATTGACATTTCTCCGTGTCAGGAAGGAGTCATATGCAAACCCACACAACCCTCAGCATTGTAACGATACTCCAGCTAATGGGACTGTAGGAAGTAGGCTGACACACCAGGGGGATACTTCAGCAGACCTCATTTATTTAATTTACTAGCCAGTGTGTATCTTAAATGCATGGCTTTAAATAGCTCGGGTATAGGTAGCTAAAAACCCTGGGTTCTCATTAGGGTGGCTCTGAGTAAAAGAGGACACTGCGTGTGTGAGCGAGTGAGTGTGTTTCACTTGTCCCTTAATGTTGCCAAATGATAGATGTGTTGTCGGAAATGAGTCTCTCTTCCCTAGAGGACTCTGTGAGAAAGATTAATTTAATGATTGCTGGTGATTGCCATCCAGTAACAACTTGAAGAGGGAAAATTACCTTTGTAATTGATACAGAAACTGGCTTTGAAAAGCTTTTGAGCTTGAACTTCTAATAATAAAGTTCCTTAAACTCTGAACTAGAGAGGAAATTGTAGTGCAGTACTGTACAGGAAATGACTCAGGCCCTACATTGTATCTGCACTGAGAAGTGTGGGCTATATTGCCTGCGTTGTGTTAACTTTGAACTATACTTTTTCCATTATTGCTAGCCCCTTCATTCTACCTCCCTGAGGCTCTAATAACATTGTTTCTGTCTTGCAGGACGTGAGGAAGCAGGAGTGGACAGCCATCATCCCCAACTCTCAGCTCATAGTCATTCCATACCCACACAACGAGCCCCGCAGGTACACACACCACACATTCACACATCTGTACTTGGACACCCACAAACGTGCTCAGGCCATGTTTCCATGAATTTCTGTGTCATTCACATGAAGTCCTACCCCCAGGAGTGCCAGCAGGTGGCAAAACCCCCCCTCTCCGTATGGCCAGCTAACACATTCTCTCACCAACACATGGAACACACACACTATATATATAGCTACTACACTAAGTTATTACTCAGAAAACACACACACATTATGTAGATGCATACATCATGTACTGTTCATACATTACAGTGAATGCTCAATGTATAGCTAGCTGTGTAAAGAAGGTGTCTTCAGTGTCATAATCTCTATTGGGCACAGGTTAACGCAAGATATTGTGGCTAATGTTGTTCTGCATTGCCATTGATTGTTTTAGTTTTCACCATTCATATTTAATGTGTTTATTAGTTCTGATAGAATGTCTTAATGAAGTTCTCTCACAAGGGTTTTGATTAATATTTGAGCAGGTGTAATGTTCTTCTTCAGCCATTTATTGTAGTATAATAACACTTTCCCACAGTCTGGGTCTGTTCCTGTTTTTAGTCAAACCATTCAAACGAACTCTCTGTTCTCTTCAATAGTCACAAAATATGTGGATCGAAAGACCGGAATTGCTCTTGTCATTTTTTGTTTTTGGAGATTTTTTTAGTTAAATGGTTCATTTCTCGATTCATTTTCACGTAATATGACATAATGTCACGGTATTTTTATATTTAGTGATTACAGAAACGTAATTGTCAAATAACACCTCAGATAAAGCAAAATATGCTAAATGTCCTTAATATAGCGCATTGACTCTTACCTTCTGATAGGGTTGGAAAAGATAAGACATACCTTTTGTATGAGTTTTATATAATGTAGTAGTTGATACGCTCTTTCTCTCTCCTACCCTTTCCCTCCTTTAGTTGGAGTGCAAAGTTGTATCTGACCCCCAGTAACATAGTCCTACTGACCGCCATCGCTCTGATCGGCGTGTGTGTTTTCATCCTGGTCATCATTGGCATCCTCCACTGGCAGGAGAAGGTAAGAACAGAATAACACAAATACATCTTACACCGTTTATCATCATCATTACCATCATTACTGTTGTAGTCAATAATAATGAGCACCATCAACCTCATCTCTTCTCCTTCATTATTAGTTGTACTGTCTTGTCATTTTTCCTCTTCTTCCTTGCATTCCTCCTCACTATCCTCTCCTCCTCCTCTTAATAGTCTGAGCCAAAGCCGGTTATGTTCTGGTCAGAGCAGTGAGTCCTCCTCACCGCTGCTAGTCCATAGTATCTGGTGGGGGTCTTCTCTTCTACTGGCCCTGGGGGGCTGCTGGGGGGCTCTGGTGCTGGTCCAGAGAGCAGGAGACCCGCTGTGGGCACAGGGCTCACTCAGAGAGGAACAGATGGGTCAGAACCAGCAGATGGGGCCCTGTCTTCTAGCCTCCCACAGAGCTCCCACATGGCTTTTAGAGGGCCGTAACCAGTGAGGACGCTCGGCTGTAATTGCTTTGTTCTGCCCCTTCAGCATATCAAATCTTTTGTTCATTATCCCTGTAAATATGCCCTCCAGGGAGTGTGTGGGTGTTGGTTGTCTTGCTACATTCCTGTGGGTGTTTATGAATTTTACATTGAGTTTTTAGGTAATCATATAACGTTTGAATTTCGCGTGTGAGAATTTGCATGTGTTTGCATGCAATTGTTGCCGACATGCGTGTGGTTTGTGTCCAGCGTGCCGTGCACACACACTGAGCAATTCATCCCCATCCCAGTGCAGCCGTGGCTGGTCTGGTTCTCCACCGAGCGAGGCCAGGCGACGTTGGCGTCTTCTCAAAGCCATCTGCTGTGGGTGCCTGATTATGCACGCAGTAAACCATAATTGCTCTCTGCTCAGCGAAGGGTTCCGGGAACACAAGCTTCATTGGAGTTGACACTGCATTAAAATAACATGTTTGGCTCCATATCGTAGGAACTGAGCCCAGCAATTATATTTTAGCAGAAAAAGAGAAAGGCTGAGACATGGCTCCTTGTCCATCGTTGATTGAATGATAATGTTCGTGATGGCCCAGGTAATGGAAGCTTAGGTAATAGCTAGCTGTTCATTTGTTCAGATGATTACTTGGCCAATTTTCTGTGCTTCAGTTCAGAGCCCCCTTCCCTTTCAGAGATACAGGTAACTGCCTAAATAAAGGTAACACCAACATAAAGTGCCTTAGTAGGGCGTTGGGCCAGCACGAGCCAGAACAACTTCAATGCACCTTGGCATAGATTCTACAAGTGTCTGGAACTCTATTGGAGGGATGTGACACCATTCTTCCACAAGAAATTCTATTATTTGGTGTTTTGTTGATGGTGGTGGAAAACGCTGTCTCAGGCGCCGCTCCATAATCTCCCATAAGTGTTCAATTGGGTTGAGATCTGGTGACTGAGACGGCCATGGCATATGGCTTACATCGTTTTCATGCTCATCAAACTATTCAGTGACCACTAGTACCCTGTGGATGGGGGCATCGTCATCCTATGGGGGCATAGCCATGGTAGCCAAAATAATGGCCTGCCCAGCATTTTTATACATTTGGTAAATATTTTTTTATATACATTGCTTAATTAACTCAGGAACCGCACCTGTGTGGAAGCACCTGCTTTTAATATACTTTGTATCCCTCATTTACTCAAGTGTTTTCCTTTATTTTGGCAGTTACCTGTATATCTGCTTCATCCTATTACTGTTGCAGCTGATGAGTCTTTTGAATCTGCAGCCTGCTTTTGTGTTGGTATGACATCTCAGTTCTTGTGAGGTTGTGTGTTTGTTAATGTTGTATTGGGCTAGACTAGCCGACATCTCTGCTGTTGTGGGCCTTTTTGAGCGAGGGTACTGCCTTTGTTTGCTTTTAATGGGGGGGGGTTTGTGACCCATTGTCATCATTTTGTCTAGTCGCGTGTGTCATCTGCATTGTGAGTGTGCTTGCCTTGAAGTCATATCTGAGCCCGGCTGCTGCTGAGCTGTTGTATCTGACTCATTCTGCCCAGCACAATAACACACCATCATTGAAGGGGGCTCTCTTAGATAAGAGAGTCTAACCTTTCACGCAGGGGAAAATAGCATTTGGAAAAAGCTCCACATCTCCATAAACTTTTCCATTTGCTTTGCGGTGTGGAGTTGACCAGGTCACAGTGCGATGGGTGATTGACTTTTGATATTTACACTGACCCCTGCTATTTGTTCCATAAATCTCAATGGTCAAATAGAAGTCAGAGGCTGGTGAGAGACATAGTACCTCCTGCAACAGCCGAGACTCAGGAAGTGTTGTTAGAACACTGTTATATAAAAGAAAGCTAGCTGAAATTTGAATAAAACTGCCTTCTCTGTTTTAGCCTAGCTGTAAATCTGAGGTAGTTTGGATTCTCTTTATTTGTCAGGTAACTTTGGTTTCACACCTGAGGAATCGATCATTGTTTATTTGAGCTATTTGTATTTTGTGAGGGTTTAAACAGAATGCAGGGCTTTTCGAGGCGATGAAGGGTGCATTATGCCTCCACGTTGCATAATGCATACAATGTGACGAAGGTCTTATCCCATTTTGTCCTGCATTTTATGCTAGATGAGGCCCCATAGCCTTAGCAGTGAGTATGGATAGGTTACCGCATACAGTAGACCTTAAAAATAGGTAAAGCTATCGTGTTACTGAACTTCACATTCAATCAGAACAAGATTGTACACGTGTGTACTCAATCAGTAGGTTTCAGACCACTCAATAAATGTCACTAATATCGCACACGCAATAACGACACAATTATATCTCCTGAACACTCAATTATTTCCTGTTCATACACCACAATGAACTAGCAATATTGACAGGATTACAAGCCAGTTCACTGAATAATGAGACCTAAGGAGAGTATTACAGTATGTCCATGTACTGTGTACACTCCATAAAAACAAGTGTTAAGTAACTGAACACTCAGTCCTAAAGACTGTCTGCTCCCTTAAGTCCTGAACAACACCGATACGTCCGACAGACTCTCTGCTTAGATGTTGGTGTACTCCATCAGGACTGTCTGTCGAATGGGGAGTGATCCCAGAACAAATCTGTCAGCTTCATCTCCACTGCATTTTGAAGCCTCCCCTTTTTTCATCATACGTGCCTTTATGTGGTGCCTGTCGTCAAGGGAAAAATAAAAGAACAAAGCTCAAAATAAACGTTAATTATCCTCATTCATCCACAGAGAGTACATAATTGTACGTTGAAGAGATGTCACATTAACACTTGAAATAATGATTGCCTGCCTCAGATAGATTGACCACTCAGTAGGTCTGCTGGTTTCATTATTATTCTATAATGGTTTCAGCCCCACCTCTCTCTCTCCATCGCTGACTGTTAGACTCTGTTTGTCTGTGACCCAGTGACCCAGTGACCCCTGACCTTTGCCCTGTGTGTGTTTCAGAAAGCGGACGACCGGGAGAAGCGACAGGAAGCACACCGGTTCCATTTTGATGCCATGTGAAGGAGCACAGGAAGAGATGGACCATGGGAAACAGTCATGCCTGCTTTCTGTTTTATTTCAGTTTGCTGGTCTATGGAATTGATTATTTATTTGATCCCCTCAGCCTCTTGAAGATGAGCCATTTAAAGTGTTTAGACATCCATTAGACATCATCAAATGTAAAAGAGACAGACAGATTACTTCTCTTGCACAGATTTGGTTGGAATTTGAACGTGTTCTTTTTTATTCACATTTCCTTATACATTTCAAGGGCCAAAATGATGGAAGAATCCAAATCTAAACAGGACTACTGAGTGAAATGACACTTAGTGATATCCCAGGGGATTTTTTCATTCAATGGTTTGGCTCAGCTTATTATGTATGGATGTCAAATGGGCACTAACAGTTTACGTCATGAATTCGTAATAATGTTTAAATGTTCAATCCAAGTCGTCCTAATCTGCAAAACACATTACAGATTTGTTTGTTTTGGGGGAAGCATTGCTATTGTAATGCTACTTGAAGTCTTATGTATGTCCAGTCATCCATTGTCTTCCTGTATGCCTTCTGTATGTCAGTCTGTAAAGGTTATTGTTTTCCATGGACTGCTATAGTGAGATCTTACACATAGAGTCCACTGACCCAAACAGGGAACTTACACTGGATGCATCCAATGTTCTCTACTGTATATAATGTGCATAGTACATGGTCCATAATGTGTCAAGTTCATTATGTACTTTTCCCGTCCTTATTCCCAAATACCTGACACAATGTCCTATCCTTGGTTGACAGCTCCCACTCTACACTGCTCTCACTCACAGTGGTAGTGGAATGGCCTGTGCTACTGACCCCTCTGGTTTAGTCATGTCCTTAGCTTTTTAGATACGTTTTTCTCACTCTTAATAATCTTGTTCGTCTCACATGATAAACATGGTGTGTTTTTGGAATGCCAAACACTTGATTATGTGTTCATGAAAAACTTCAACTTACAAGGGGAAATAGTTTTGGTCTTTAACCTACAGAAAGTGCAATCATCCTTATCACCAATGTCAAAGCCTCTTCTATTAATTATTTTATTTCATTTTGAATTAACGTGGGGCACTGTATTATTGGATGGTACTGGTCTAACATCCAAATATTTATTTTGCTATCATCTCATGTCTGTGGTTTGAACTTTTTTTATACTAATGATTAATAGTGATAAGTAATTGATTTTATTTTTGTGATTGTACATGTAATCGAAAATGTTCAACTGAATGATAATTTATGTTGAATGTTTATGGGATGATGGGTTTAAAATTAAAGTGTTTATCATGCTTAATCCATGGTGGTTCTTACTTGTTTTGAATTCATTTAAATGTATTTCCATCTCACTTTTGCCTTCCATTTCATAGACTGGCATGGCCATCAGAAAAAGTAAATTCTCCTAGTGAGCTGATGACTCAAGAAACGATTGGAAGTGACAACTTGGCATAGCCTACGGTTTTGAGTTCTTTTTAGCTCATGCAGCATAATGTATTGCAATCTGGCACTTATGGTAAAATGGTAGTCTAATAAAATGGTAGCCATAATTTAAATAGCAGTTGATGTTTTACTGTCTGTTGATATTTTTCAACGATTGTCTTTTGGCAACAACTTACTGAGTAAAGATTATCCTGATTGTATGCTGTCAACTTTTCCGTTGTTTTTTGGGGGTGCGTAAAGCACATAACCCCATTGTAACTTGTTCCATTCGTTTTGTATTATATCAGACATGGCTCTGCTCAATTTTACCAACAAGCAGAGAATTGTAGGCAGGGAGAGATAACGCTGCGGATTTTACACTCGGTGATGGGGTGCATGCGTACAAGCTGCTCATTCACGCAAACATCGCCCAGAGCTTAAATGAGCCTTGTTTAGTGCCATTACTTCAGTTCAGCCAGAGACCACTCTGTGCGTCTCTCTGTGCGCGTCTCTCGGATACTCCGCTGCTCAACCTCACTGGACAATACAACCTGCTTTAATAATAGTATATGTTGCATTTGGAACTACAAGACACCTATCTAGATGGAATTAACGTTGTATTTAATACTAATCGGGAGTGGTTGAAGAAGAAGCGCTTGTTTTCCTCAGAGGAAATTCGGAGTGCATGGTTGTCTTTCTGACTATGGAATTAAGGCGATCAATGAAAAGTTGGATTTTATGAACAGCCACTCATTGCCTTGGATCCATAAAATGGAGAGATAAAGCGTGTAACTCCCCAAGCTTAAGAAGGAGAACGTATTTGGCACCACCACACAGGGAGAGGAAATGCACAGAGGTGAGTTTTACTGAGCATCAGAGTGCTTTTGGATCGCATTTAAGGACCACTGATATGATACAGAAGGCTAATAATCCCTCGCATCGACTGTGATATAATTCATCCCTTATTCTTCTGCAATATAGGCAAAACTCATCCTTACCAAATGTCTCCTGTAGCTCAGTTGGTAGAGCATGGCGCTTGCAACGCCAGGGTTGTGGGTTCGTTTCCCACAGGGGGCCAGTATGAAAATGTATGCACTCACTAACCGTAAGTCGCTCTGGATAAGAGCGTCTTGCAAATGACTTAAATGTAAATGTCGACTTAAATGTAAATGTCTCCCGTTTTATTTTATTTTGCGCCAAGTTGTTTTATTGTGTTCATGTTTGCAAGTAGTGAATGGGATCGCCATCTGCAGGTTTACTTATATTCAGTTATATATTCTATTAGCTTTTTAGACTACTGCAATGGGTTATCTTTGAAATGTGCCAATATGCCAATATCCTCTCTTATAAAATTTGACATTTGCGCAAGGCTACACAATCCGGAAGAATGCATTCCAATTTAGGCTGCTTTTCTGTTAACACCTAAGGTCGATGTCTAAATATCTAAATAGTATTTTTTTAAATCCCCTTAAAGAATATATAGATATCTGTTCTTTTGCATTGGATGCGTCTCGATCCACCTGTGTAACACTTCTGCATCTGTGGTGACAGGGCTTAGACTCTTATGGGTTAATAACTTGATTTCTGAACTCAAGTCATGTGTGATGAATACATATGGTATCGGCAAATAGCCTAATGTATGTAGGAGTTGAAAATCGCTGTGTTTTAGCATAACTGCGCCTGGGAGCGTGGTGCTGAAGTGACAGTTCCTGCTGATTAGCGCCACATCTGGGACAAGGCCACAGCTGCGGTTTGCAGCTCATTTTAAGCCACGATATTCTGCTCTGAAATCATTGTGTTTTGTACTGTACTGTAGGCCTATTATTTAAAGGTACTGTCAAGTATTGTTTAAGACACCTAGCCTGTAAACTGCACTGAATCTTATCACCGAGGGGGAGAACCTCATGTTGAGCTCACTTCAGTAGGCCTGGGCTATTTCAGTCACGAAAGGCACGAAGTCTAGTCGTCTAAATAGTATTAACAACAACTGACTGTAGCGTTCTAACTCTGTATAGCCCTATGTTTCATTTTTGTAATATAATTGCAGAATCAAAATCAAAATGCATCAGCCAACGTCCAACAGGGACATATCTATGCTTTTTGGGTTCATTTAAACAAGCAATGTGGTAGGCCATCCATTTTTATTTAAAATGCTCTCCCACTCATGTTCTTCAGGTAGTGTAGGCTATCTTTTAAAGGCATTCAACCTTTTCGAATCAGACCTACAGGCCCATTCAAAGCTGTTTGAACCAACTGTGTTCTACAATGAATGCCTGCCATAGACTGCTTTTAAGAGGTAGTTATGGTGGTCCCCCATGGTGGAGTAGTATCCAGAAAGGACACATCTATGTGAATAGACTTATAGTCAGGCCATGCATGGAAAGGTGTGTGTGCACGGTGTGGCCTTTTGGCCTTCAACGTATCAAGGCCGGGAAGAGAGAGGGTGTGTGTTTAAATTCTGTATAGTAGAGAACATGCTGTCTGATATCTTTTTGCAAGCCTGGGTGGCTGTAGTCAATCCATGTTTCATTATGCATCTGTCAGGCTCACGCTCGCGGTTTAATGTGATATAAGCAGCACAGTCAATTAAAATCCGTTGGGGGTAAACCTACGTCGGCTTATCTGGAGAAGACAGTAGTGTTGTGGGCTGAAATGTGCACAGGGGTACTGCGAGCAGTTTTAGCACTGATATAATACACAATGCAGTGCTGTTGCTGCTGCCTCTGGATGCCTGTCTCTCATTGTGGCATCACGCCTGCGAGCCTTATCCCATTTGTTCTGGTGCTGTCTTCATTCAGGACAGGATGCTGGAGGGCTGGCGATGCTCTGATAGGCCTGACGATGTGGGCCTACCAATGAGTGCTTCCTGTCACACCATCAGAGGACAATATGATAACACATACACAGATATACAGCCTTCTTTATTTAGCTGTAACTGGTATGGAGGAGATAGCTCTTTAGGCATCAATCTGAATTCGGCTTCAGGCTTTTGGTTATAATATGTCTTGGGTCCGATAAGAGGCTTTTTCGATAAGCTCTCAATGGCACAACCTATGAAATATAATGGTAGGGATACATCTACAAGACCAATGGATCAATATTCTGTCAAGTATTGTTGCACATCATGCACACTTGGTGCATACAAGTTCATGAATTGCAAGATGCATCTTTACTGTCAATGTCATTGGCTCTTTCACTGTGTGTGTGTTCTTGTGTATGTGTGCTTGTGTGTGTGTGTGTGTGTGTGTGTGTGTGTGTGTGTGTGTGTGTGCTTGCACTGTTATGTTAGGTTATTATGGATATAAGTAGGGCTATAATTCTTAATGCTGTCCGGTCTGCATCACAGCTGTTCCAATAATCACACATACACCATTTAGTTAAAAAAAAGAAAAGGTTTATAATTATTTCACCCAACAGAAAAGAAGGCATGTTTCTCATTTAAACTGGTAATTACTATTTCCTACCTTAACTAGCAGATTTCAAGCTTCACATAATTGCTTTTTAATGAGGGATGTGTGAGCTAGTGTGTTAGATTGCCTATTATTTCAATACTTTGATTACATTGTTTTTCACCTGTTCCACTCGTATTAAATTGTACTTTTATGAAACATAAGGGTGCAAATCATTGACATTGTAATGTTTTTCTCTTGCAGCCTGGGTACTCCTTATTCTGATAGAAGAGGGATTTGCACTGGCACAGAGAACTAAAGGTGCGTCTCCTGTTGTCATCATGTCAGATTATGGGGGAATAATTGGTCACGTTGTAGCACATAAATCATTTTCACTGGCAGAATCACAATAAATGGATCTAATCCCATACATATCCCAATTCAAACATGGTCTTGATTCTTTTCACTGTCTTTTATCAGAGTCCTTTTCTCAGAATGAAGGCAGTCCACCTCAGAATCTTAACGAATGTGGCACCTGGGTCCGCAACATCAACGGGGGAGTCTTCACATCCCCCAACTACCCCAACACATACCCCCCTAACAAGGAGTGTGTTTACATCTTGGAAGGTACATGTCTGTTTATGCCCGCTCACACAAAGATAGCCTCAGCAGTGCCTTAGAATGTGGATAATAGCTTCTTATTGGTTTGTTGCAATTTTGACAGCCTGTCAGTCACTATATACACCTTGTCAGAGTCATGTCATCCAAAAGTCCCAAACCTATATGATTGTGGTAAACTCAGCCGAGACTAACTAGGCTGCAGGAACTGATGGTGTGATTTCATCAGTTGGAGGAAAATTGAAGACTTGGTGAAGCTCAATGGCTCCCTCTGTGGATACATCAACTAGCATAGCCATGGAACCTACCTTGACAAAACAGCATTGACAATCCAAATAATCAATGAGCAGGGCTTAACAAGGCCAATTCTCCAGATCATCATGACTCAAACCCAATAATGAATTGCATCGTTCATCTCTCATCTCCAAAGGTCTTACGAGGGTGAGACACTCAATACTCATCAGTCAGAAGTGTCAGTCAACCTGGTTTATATTTCACAATTCATGGCTTGTTGACTGCATTGCAGAGACTTTTGTCTCTCATATTATGTGACTTTTGGTTGGTGATTGTGTATTACTTCTATTGTTTCAGTGTGTTGTTGTATTGAGTTATCAAGCTAAGCTGTGCAACACTATCTTTGGTATGTATCTAGCTAATTTGAACTGAGAGCTCTTGTTTCTAATCCTTACCAGGGGAAATATACATGTGATTTAGTGTTGTGATAACAGTAGTGCCAGCTTGGCTGAATCTGTACGGTAGGCATCCATCATTTATTCCTGTTTAAAATAGTGACATTATTGCTTCCCACATACCTTCGAAGTACAGCTAATTTGTTTCGGTATGTGTGCTGGCGGTGACATTATTTGTGTCAGTGTGGGTGAGTTAGTGACATGATTTGTCTTTACATGTGTGTCTGAGCTGTGACGTCATCATTTAAATGATGGTATCATTTGTTGCAGTTCAAAGGCATTACCCTCTCTTATCAATTTTTCTACCGTTTCCCATTTTATCATAGCAGGCAGTCTGATGTATATGTAATTCATCTATGAAGACAGGAATTAGCTGGCTTTTAAAAAATGGTATGTGCAAGTGGGAGTCATGTTGATTCTGGGAGACTACTTGAGCCAGTCATGTAGGGTGGGATTTACATGATGTGAACTTCTAAACTCAAATGTATGGTCCAAGTTTTGTGTTTTGATTCAGAACCTGTAAGGAAACATGCTGACATGTCAAGTCATGTCAAGTCATGTGTGTATGCATCAGCAAATGTGCGTTAGTGTAAGGGCCCAATTCAATACGTATCACCGAAGTTCAGCGCTACAGCGCAATTGAAATGTAAAGGCAATGTTCCCACGTTTGTGGAGACTGCATTCATGGTAAATGCTGCATATGTCGGCTCAATCAAAAAATTACCTTTACATTTCAAGCAGGCTATAGCGCTGAACTTCAGCGATATGGATTGAATCGAGCCCTAAGCATGGGTACCTTTGTGTATTTATGCAGGCATCCATAAACTGGCTGTGCATATGAGTAGAAAACAGGAGTTTAGCAGATTTTTAAACAAGTTTGTATGCAGACTGAGACCCTGCTGTACTGGTAAACGCAGTCCATGGAGCAAAGCCTTTTAGCAAAAACTAAACCCAACACACCCCTAATACTCCTCCTCCTCCTCTATCACCTCCTCCAGCTCTCCCTCGTCAAAGAATCCAGTTGGCCTTTGATAAGAACTACTACATGGAGCCCTCCTTTGAGTGCCGCTTTGATCACATCGAGGTACGGGATGGTCCGTTTGGCTTCTCACCGATCATCGACCGCTTCTGTGGGTCGAAGAGCCCAGGCCTGGTCACATCCACGGGCCGCTTCATGTGGATCAAGTTCACCAGCGATGAGGAGCTGGAGGGTGTTGGGTTCCGTATCAAATACACCTTTATAGCAGGTACACCTGTTCTCAGTTAGAGCTAGCCTACTGGGCATATCATCATTACATACACATTCATAGGTGTGGATAAGAAGGACTACAGCACATCCACAGATTCACTGTCAAAGGCCATCCAATTTTATACACTAGGACACTGAAATCAGCGTCTCACATCGGGCCACAGATATTAGCTCCCAATGGTCTTCCCCAGTTTATCTGGCTTACTTTAATGGGATCTTATCACTTTTCTTTACTCGTGAATTCCAGCTCTGTGGATCAAGACTCATGTGCTTTCCTGTTTATAATTTCAGACCCAGATTTTCATCTGCATGTGGGTGGACTGTTAAACCCGATTCCAGGTAAGCTCTTCAATATTTCACCGGTGTGTCCGATCCAATTTGAAGAGCTCTGTGCTCTAAAGCTTACTGGGTGCTATCTTTCACTGACACATGCTCTCTCACACACAGAGACACCTCTCTTTCTCCTCTCTCTCACTTTCTCTCTCTTTCTCTCTCTTTCTCCTCTCTCTCTTTCTCTCTCTCCTCTCTCTCTCTCTCTCTCTCTCTCACTTTCTCTCTTTCTCCTTTCTCTCTCTCCTCTCTCTCCTTTCTCTCTCTCTCACTCACTTTCTCTCTCTCTCTTCCTCTCTAGTTTCTTTGTTCCCGTTTTTCTATCTCTTCCCTTATGCTCACCTTTCCTTCTTCTGCAATCCATCTCTTATCCATAACCCCCCTCCCCTGTCCTTCCCCCGTCCTCACCTTTCTCTCTCCTCAGATTGTCAGTTTGAGATTGGTGGCTATGATGGTGTTATCCGCTCCAGTCAGGTAGAAGAGGAGGATAAGATTAAGACTGGTGATGCTCTGGACTGTATCTGGACCATTCGCGCTCCTCCTCAGTCCAAGGTGAACATCTTGTTCCCCCCCTCCTTCTCTCCAGTGGCTAAATGGGTAATCATGTCACTCACTGCAGAGGTCCAGCCACTGAAAAAACCACCAATTGATTAGAACACAAGAGACTGGGAGTAAGACATAACCAGTCCCCTGACCCTCTCTCTGCTGTGGAAACAATGAAGGGTATCTCAAATTAGCAGTAGCCTAACCAGGGCAGCAGGTATTAGGCCAATGATGCAGAAATAGCAGAAAAACAGAATCAGCAGTACTGGGAATGAAGCTAAAAGCATCCTCTTGACGTCTGCAGTCTTACGAGTTCAAATGTGCTAAAGAGGCTGGATTGTTCCGGGCTGAATTCACAAGGTGCTCGCTAGAACGATACAGAGACAGGTTAGATATGGACAGAATGTTAAGATTAGAGCCTATCCCGTGGGTGCAAAGCAGCAATCTTGTACTCAAAAGATTTAGTTGTGCAACTCTTCATCTGAGGTCAATGTTTCCCGGTGGTTGTGTGCTATACAATTGGGCTAAGCCTACCAGGATAGGCTTAGCCCAAGTATGAGTGTATTATCCTTCAGTACCAATATCCCTTTTTAAATGCTTCAATTTTCGCTTAATTTGTGTTAATTTCTTTCTGAATGTCAGCAGAGTAGCCATGGTTCTGTGTTGTGATGTGGTGATTTCTGGCTGTAGATTTACATTCGGTTCCTGGAATACCAGATGGAGCACTCCAACGAGTGCAATAAGAACTTTGTGGCAGTGTACGATGGCAGCAGTGCCATAGAAAACCTAAAGGCCAAGTTCTGCAGCACCGTGGCTAATGACGTCATGCTAGCCAACGGGGTGGGAGTGGTGAGGATGTGGGCCGATGAGAAGAGCCGACTCAGCCGCTTCCAGATGCTCTTCACCTCATTCGTCGACCGTGAGTGTTCTCCTTATTTTATCAGAAATCTTACTTGCAGTTATTGTGGGCCGTCTAAACCAAGAGTTAATTTGGAGATAAATAATTACGATCAGTCTGGGTACTTTATCAATTGGCAGGTCCTCTTGTCTCCATGTTTTTTATTCTCATGATTTAGTGGTCAGTATTTTGTCCAGACACACAGCAGATGTATGGAAGGTTGGAAGAGATAGATGGGGCCAACTGCCTACTATTATTATTGATTTATTGACGACATCTACATCCTCTGAATAGTAAATAACTGACTGACATTCAACTTTCATTTTAGAAATGGAAAGTTAATTAAAGTTGCATACTATGCAGTGATATCGCAAAGCCAATTATTTTCCCTTTGCTGAGTACCTCAAAGAAAATGACAAGTTATTGATATGCAGGTAACAGTGTAACACATTGGCCATAATAATGGGTCATCATTCACAATGGACAAGTGGTGAATGGAAAAGCTGAATAATGTGTTATTATTATGTTAGTAAATTAGCTTTTTTTGTTTAACCCTTTACACTCTTGGCCTATATGGATAGGGCTAATTTGAAATGTTTCTTAGGCTTTCACAAGGAAATTCAGAGAAACAGATAGTAATTTTGGTGTGCACAGAATGGAGTCATGAGTGCATTCAGGTGCATGATCTGTGGCAAATTTTCTTCACAATAGACAAACATAGGCTCATTCTGTTCAGAACAACCCAGGGTATGACGTCCTGTCATCTTGTAACTTGACATCAAACATAGAGATCATAAACGTTGACACTGTATATGACATGAGTTTTATGATATGGAAATGTAAAGTGCACATTTGGACTCACAGGTGTTTGGCATGCTTGTATGACATCAAAGCGGTATTTATTACAATCCTCAATGTCTCATCTTTCAAAATACATCAACTTTTAATTTATCGCATTTCCCTCACTAAAACAACAAAAATGTGTAAATGTTGCCCAATTAGCGGGAGGGATGAGGCAACTTCTTGTCGCGTGCAGTGCTCAAGTTCAGAACGGCTGTCAGTCAAAACCCGTACAGTGCTGTGAAGCGCAGAGCCTGACCCCTGACATCATTTATAGCATGTTACTGTACAGTCACTGCGTTCCAATGTAGGTGCGTATCAGTGTCCAAATCTGCCATTTTCAACACGTATACGGGTATGAGTGTAAAGGGCTACAGAACTTCTGAAGGAAATGTGTGTGTTTTTTACACATCTAATCATGGCATGTGTTTTTTAAACTAGATGATTTAATTTCAGAGAGAGAAATAGATATATCCGCCTCATTCTCAGAAAAGAAAGTAGTACTGCAAGGTTTTACACAGTCAAATGTTACAAATAATTACATTTTTATTAAATAACTTTACAAATTATACATTTATGAAATCAATATATATATATCTCAATACAGTATTATGAGATTTGGGCTCTGGTCAAAAGTAGTGCACTATATAGAGAATACGGTGCCCTGTGGGACGAGACCTAACTCTAACCAAACACTATAGCATGAGGTTAGATTTATGATGGGTTTCATTTATATGTTAAATATACATTCCAGCTAAACATTCCAGCTAAACAATGGATATATAGTATTTTGCTAAATCTATTAATAAACATTCTGAGAACAGTAATATTTCACACACATAAAGGTACCCATAACCATTAATTTCTCATGAAATAAAAAACAAATGTGAAGAATTAGTCGATATAGAGTTTTGAAAATAAACTCTTCAGTTGTTCCTCCGCCATACTGTAATATTTTCATTAAATGCCTGAATAATCAGAGATATATTAATTGCTGTATTCATTTTAGATATTATTTTTTATTCCCTTCGCTGCAGCACTTAATTACCTTTTAAATTCAACAGAGATGTTTTTTAAGAGAGCTCTTAAAACTTTCTGACGCACATTAAACAAGATCACATATTTCATAATGTTTGTCTTGCATTTTAAATTCATGTTGTCCCAACGTCATAGACTGGGGTTCAATTAAAGGACAAAACAGAGACATTAATCTTAGTAATCAGTCATGCCACTTTTACCCGCACTATCACCTTGGATATTTTCGTCCTTATCCTTCTCAGAACATGCAGAATCCTGTACATCATCATTTTCATTACCTCTGTGGTTCTGGGCTCTCTCAGGGGGAACTGAGAAGATGGGGAACACGAACCAGCGCTGACACCCCAGAGAGAGAACAAGCTTTTTGAAGGCGAGAGATGTCTAATCGGTTTGGAAGTGAGCGCATAGTCAGGGGAGCTCCATGCACTCAACGGGAGATGGAAGGCGTCTTATGACCCCTTCATCCTGCTGTCAGAACCGCTTAGCCTCGCGGCAGTGGAGGGGAATGGTTTGGTGTTCGGCCCTAAACAGCGTGTATGTGTCAGTGGTGTAGTGGGACCTGGTGGGGGCTATTGTCTACCTTGCTGTAGTACTGTCTGATGGGGTTTGAGGTGTGTATGGGGGGGGATTTGGGGTGGCAAGCTGCTCAGACCGCTGATAGAGAATTGGGGAGGGGGGGGGGGGGGGGGGGGGCAGGAGGAAGGGGGTGTAAGTGTGTGGCGGGGGGTAGCCTGTTAGGACCCACAGAACCAGCCTCGCACATCCATCTCCTGGGCCCAGCAGTCACGTTCAATTTACCAGCCTTCTCGGCTGTCTCGTGACTAGCATTGTAAAAGCTAGTTTAGTCAGGAGTCTCAGCGCGCCTGGCCATCTGTGCCTCGTGATGGCCGTCTAAATTGATTTACTGCACTCCATACTCTACGCTGTTTTTCCACTCTACATGGTTGCTAGGAGAAGCAGCCATTTCAATTGCCTATCATGTCATGCAACCTGTAAATGATGATATATGGTTTCAAGTTGCACACATCTAGCGTTTATTGCAGTAGTTTTAATCTTTAATAACTTTACCTTGTCTCTTGTTTCAGCCCCGTGCAATAGCAACACGTTCTTTTGCCATAGCAACATGTGCATCAATAACTCATTGGTGTGTAATGGGGTTCAAAATTGTGTCTACCCCTGGGATGAGAACCATTGTAAGGGTGAGTGAAACTTAAATTTCCCATCATCTATTTTTAATCATTTAGTATTTTTATCATGTGGTAAATTGACTTATGACAACCAAACCATTATAGTAGACTTACTGTTTTTTCCCCTTCACAAACAGAGAAGAAATCCAATGGCCTGTTCCATCAGATCACTAATACCCACGGCACGGTGATCGGCGTGTCCTCAGGCGTGGTTCTAGTCCTACTCATCATCTCCATCCTGGTCCAGATGAAGCAGCCTAGGAAGAAGTTGGTAGCCCGCCGGCCAGTCTTCAACAAGGCTGGCTTCCAGGAGGTCTTTGACCCTCCCCATTACGAGCTTTTCTCCCTCCGTGACAAGGAGATCTCCTCTGACCTGGCCGACCTATCAGAGGAGCTGGAGAGCTACCACAAGCTGCGCCGCTCCTCCACCACGTCGCGCTGTGTCCACGAGCACCATTGTGGCTTGCAGGCCTCGGGGGGCAGCATGAAGCAGAGCCGCACCACCCTCAGCTCCATGGAGCTCTCCTACCACAACGACTTCTCCAAGCCCCCGCCCATGAAGACCTTTAACAGCACCTATAAGAAAAGCTGCTACGGCTACCAACAGACTCACGACTGCGCCGAGAAGGTCATTGAAGACCGCGTCATGGAGGAGATCCCCTGTGAGATCTACGTCCGCGGCGGAGCGGCCGGGGCCAAGCGCTGGAAGCACTGGGCCAGGAGGCTGTGGCACTCTCAGCTCCCGCAACGGGGGCCGCAATAACACCAGCATCGTCGACCCCCAGCAGCGCTCAATGTCCATGGACTTCTAGGCGGAGAGGGGGGAGAAAAGGAGGAGAGGAACCTGACTCTCATTTATTTTATTTTTTCCTTCTTTTGATCAGTCTAATAGGGAGGAATCTCGCATGCAGATTCAGCCTTTCCCCTGTATGCTCAAAAGAACTGGACACTGCCACACAGGGGAACAGAGACAGATGAAAATGACTTTAGACTGTTTACTGTATTTACATTCATTCACATGCCAAGCACAGATATAGTATGCTTCTCATAACTTATGTTAGTCTTTATTTTTGTCTATGTACTGTATATTAAAACCAGAGTATCAAGCTTCATGTTGTTGCTTGGCTTTTAACCCATTCATTTGGTATTGTTTGATTTGATAAAAATGTGCATATATGATGACAATTATGTGATGCAGGCTATGATTACCACACACACATCCACACACATGCAGAGCCCCAACGAATATTCTATGTCTTGAGGGAACACAGTAAATATACATTCAGAAGTGGCAGATTTTCATGTAGGATATCTAGACAGAGGAATAGATGTGTTCTCTGTGTGTTTTTTAACATCTTGGGTCCATTTGGGGATTCGAGTTCAGATTCACCACTATAGTGGTGAACCCAGAAGATACAAAACAGGGGGAATCTATAAATGGATTGGGATGCCCACACAAACTCATCGGGTACAGGGTTGAGTTTCCATTAACTTTTGACAAGATAGACAAGAGCTAAAAGGGCCATTCAGGAGTTGATAACAAATTCAGAGTGATGTGAAAAAGTAGCCTAAATAGGCAAGCGACTTTTAATTCAGGAACGTTGATATACCTGAATGGTGGAATAAGGACTAAACAGATGAGATTTTGTCTTCTGAACTGTTGTTTAAAACAAGCACAACCTGTTTCATCAAACAGACAGACATGGGCCACGATTTATTATTTTGATCACTGGTTGTAGGATTTCATTGTTTCATTAAAAGAGACCTTACTCACCTACCTGTGTCTGCCTTTCATTTCATAAGTTAACACTGACAGTTGCTCTGTATAATACAAATTACCAAAACCACACAACAACTTGATGAAACAGCATGGGAATTGCAAATAATGATAATACCCTGAAGTGAAGTTTTTGTTTTGTTGATGTGTACAAATACATAGTATTCTTAGCCATTTTTGAAGAATTTCAAATTAGTCTCCAATTCATATTATGTATATTGTAAGTAATTACCATAATTTACTATGCTCAGTCCTATAATTTTTTTTTAATAAGATTATATTATACATGTAACAGATGTAATTAAAAAAATGTTTGACTGAGTTGCGTGTAACCGGACCTTTTAAAATCCCTCTTCAATCAAAATTAACTCTGTAGCATGCAGTATATAGGATCTTATGTCCATTACTGTCTGTAGTAATCAATGTCAATTAAATGTAATTTCACTTAATTTACTGTAACACCATTGTCAGATGAGACACACAAAACACAGAGACAGACATAAGCCATAGAGGCCGATTCTCTCACTCCACCACCCAACATCCCAACCACCTCTCTCTGCTGTCATGTTGCATTAGACATTATGAGAGCGCTTAGGGCTTCATCTGTCTTAAAAAGGCAGAGGACAGACACAGTGGGCCACAAATATATAATAATAATAATAATATGCCATTTAGCAGACGCTTTTATCCAAAGCGACTTACAGTCATGCGTGCATACATTTTTGTGTATGGGTGGTCCCGGGGATCGAACCCACTACCTTGGCGTTACAAGCGCCGTGCTCTACCAGCTGAGGACCACAAGTACCAATGGGGGTCTGAAGCTACAATGAAGCTACAATGAAGCCCTCAGATAGCTACAACAAACATCTATGAATGTAGTCACAGAGGTCAACAGAGGGTCATGTGGTGCTTTTAATTTTCAATCTGCCTCAATTGAAATAGACTCATAGTCATCTAAGACTCAAGTGTCCTTTTGTCCCAGGCATTACAACACCTCATGGATACGATACACAACAAAGACCCAATGATATGATTCTGTAGGCCTATATGTAAAGATATGGTAGAATGTGTCAACCAAGAGAGGACAAATGACTCCTGAAGTGTATACAGACATATGCAGACTGCGTAAATACTGTGTGTATGAGTGCATGTGCGAGCTTGTGTGTGATAAGATGACAAAAACAGACACAATGTCACTAAACTGGTGAGCAATGTAAAATACCTGAATCAATTTGTCATGTATAATAGAGAGGAGAAAATTGATGAGGTGAAAATATGGAAGTCACTATAATTGAGATGCACCCTTTTTAAACGCCTGGAGAAAGGTTAAAGTTGACGCAACGTATGACGTTTTCGACCGGCTCTTAATCTTTCTATTCTCGCTTCCCGTGCAGAAGGTCCTTCCCTTAGCTTCATCATGGCAAACGTTGTCGATACTAAATTATATGACATCCTAGGTGTGTCCCCCACTGCCACTGAAAATGAGTTGAAAAAGGTAACGTTGATTGTATCTCCCGATTTATCGAGTCAAATTCAATCTAGGTGCTGTGGAGTTTGAATTGTTCGTAGAAACAGGAAATAGGTTATTCTTGCTAAAAGCTAGTCTGGCCTAGAAACGGTAGCTAGCTAACGTTAGCTAGTTTGACTAGCTAGCTAGCTCTATGTTTCTAGCCAACTAGCGCCAATCAGCAAATTCTTCTCAAATTTGTGTCCTGTAGTACCATTTATCTGCCTTACTGTTTTAGTTAACTACCTCTGTCTTTGGCGCAAAGTGTTTGGGTGTTTGTACTTTGCGCTTGTTGGCGCTAGTTTTCAATGATGTTGATGGCATCTTGTAGAACGTCGTTCTGAACGAACGCCTTAGAGTTAATCTTTTTGTACAAGTTAGCATGTGGTTGGTAGCGAGAACGTTAGCACTATTCCCTGTCTTTTGGTTTAGAGTCCGCATAATACATCAGACATTGTTAAATATTAAACCATTACTGTATTAGCAGTTGTTTTGTTTACCTTTTTCCAGACTGGTACTAGCTAAGACAATGGCTAGCTAGTAGATAGCTAACTCTCGTGCGACTATCTGCTGGTAACAGATAAGACGCAACCAAGTCGCCTCAACCAGGTTGCTATAGATAAGGTAAAATATTCAAGGTTACTCTGGTTTGATCTGTTAACGTTAACTAACTGTTAGCTAACGTGTGCCACTAAACTAGTTAGCTGGCTAGTTGCGTAATTTAGCCGGCTAGCCTACGACGTTAACTGTTAACTCACGTGTTTACAGTTTAATTCACAGTAACGTAATTTTGGGGCCACATCTCCAGGTCGGACATTTTGGGTTGATTTTGTTGTGGAAATTCTGATGGATAGCTGGTTAATAGTTGTGATTTATAATCATTGTAACTAATTAGCCAGTAGCTAACTTGAGTCATTATGAGAATAGCTAGCTAGCTGGTCCGTCAACACGCATTACGCATATAGTAGCTAGCTGTCTTCCGCAGTTTTCTTCAAATTCAATTTACTAGCTAGCTTATTTAGGCCAGCTAACTAACTTTACCGTAAAAAGGAACGTCAGATTCCTGTCCATATTTCACTGATGGCTACTACTGGGATTACGTAAAAAGTGGAAGGCCCAATGGTTATACAACTCATTGGCTAACTAGCTAGCATAAATACTCGAAACCAGTGCCTTGAACCAATGCTTGTAATGTTATGTATTATTCATGTGCTTGCCTTTTCTTTCAGTCATACCGGAAGCTAGCAAAGGAATATCACCCCGATAAAAACCCAAATGCTGGCGACAAGGTATTGAAATGGCTTGAAGTACATTTTTTTGGGAGGGATAAGATGTGAGGAAAGGGTTCAATCATTCCTTAAACTTCTGAGTAGCTACATCATGAATGTTATCAAATATCTGTAAATGTCATACAACTTAATGTACACCCTCTCCTTCAAACAGTTCAAGGAGATCAGTTTTGCATATGAAGTGTTGACTAATCCAGAGAAAAAGGAGCTATATGATCGCTATGGGGAGCAGGGACTGCGGGAAGGAGGTGGAGGTGGGTGGGGGGAATGGATGACATCTTTTCACACATCTTCGGCGGCGGACTCTTTGGCTTCATGGGCGGGCAGGGGCGCAGCCGAAATGGTGGTAGACGAAGAGGAGAGGACATGGTTCACCCACTCAAGTAAGCTTAGTCTATGGATTGGTGGTGTCATAGATCTCTTGTGTGATTATCAAAAAAAAATGTGTCTGACTGTTCAAGTGGCCTGCGGTTTCTATGACCTTGCTACGGTCTCTAATTAAGTTCTTTGGTTTTTAAGAGTTTCACTGGAAGACCTGTACAATGGAAAAACAACTAAACTGCAGCTGAGCAAGAATGTTCTTTGTGGCACTTGTAATGGGTAAGTGTTTCCACATTCTTCCAATGGTATCTGCAACAATTTCCCCTCCAAATTACTTCTCTAGCTCACATGAAGCAGTGTTGAGGTCTTGCTTTCACTGCCTGTCAATTATTGCATCATACATGTTGATCATGTAGGTTTGTTGGTGTGTTAGACAAAAAAGTATAACTTCTTCTCAACAGCCAGGGTGGGAAGACTGGCGCAGTTCAGAAGTGTGTGGCCTGCAGGGGGCGTGGTATGCGCATCATGATCAGACAGTTGGCTCCTGGGATGGTCCAACAAATGCAGTCAGTTTGTACTGATTGTAATGGAGAAGGTAAGCAACAGTACCATTTAGGAACCATACACTTGTAGTACCCAGATACGTGTGAAAAGGCTTTGCCCCCTCCTTAGACTCTGAAACTTCTATTGTTATACCTACAGGTGAGGTCATCAATGAGAAAGACCGCTGTAAAAAGTGTGAGGGCAAGAAGGTTAGCAAGGAGGTGAAAATCCTGGAGGTCCATGTCGACAAGGGCATGAAGCATGGGCAGAAGATCACCTTCGGAGGGGAAGCTGACCAGGCGCCTGGGGTAGAGCCAGGAGACATTGTCCTCGTCTTGCAAGAGAAGGAGCACGAGGTAGAGATGAACTGCTGTGCTCTGGACACCATGGTCCCCACTCCTTAAGACTACTTCTCTTGTTGACTAAAGGCAATATTACAATGTAGAAACATATTAGTGAAGGTGCAACATTGATGTGTAAACTTGTTATTACTCAGCTATTATGTATCACGTCTATGAGGAATTGAGGAGTATAGATGGAGAATGTTGAATGGTAGTTGGTTGAACAAAAGCAGCCAGCTGGCTGTGTTGGGTCCTCCAGCACTCTTGACTGGGATCCTTTGGGAGCAGATTGCAGTGACGGCACGATGCTGTTAGGCCAATGTGAACATGCTGTAATCCAGTTTCCAGTACTGGCCTCCCACCCTCTGAGCCCCCTGCATGTCTGGCATAACTTGGTATTAATTATAGTCAAGAGTGGCACGTCGTTCCTAATCCTGGAGCCCTAGCATTTCCACTCCATTGTGTCACCTCCAGACTGTCACTCACTGCTCAGAAGATGGGAGAACAGACACATGTTGATGGCACCAGCCTCTCATGTGAAGAATAGACCAGTAAAGAGGAGTCAATGGGGAGGGGAGACAATACCCTGACAGGATGTATATGCACAGCTTCCTGGGGCTATTATCTTATGTTCATTATTTACAGTGGGGGGAAAAAGTATTTAGTCAGCCACCAATTGTGCAAGTTCTCCCACTTCAAAAGATGAGAGGCCTGTAATTTTCATCATAGGTACACGTCAACTATGATAGACAAATAGAGATTTCTTTCTCCAGAAAATCACATTGTAGGATTTTTTTATGAATTTTTTTGCAAATTATGGTGGAAAATAAGTATTAGGTCACCTACAAACAAGCAAGATTTCTGGCTCTCACAGAACTGTAACTTCTTCTTTAAGAGGCTCCTCTGTCCTCCACTCGTTACCTGTATTAATGGCACCTGTTTGAACTTGTTATCAGTATAAAAGACACCTGTCCACAACCTCAAACAGTCACACTCCAAACTCCACTATGGCCAAGACCAAAGAGCTGTCAAAGGACACCAGAAACAAAATTGTAGACCTGCACCAGGCTGGGAAGACTGAATCTGCAATAGGTAAGCAGCTTGGTTTGAAGAAATCAACTGTGGGAGCAATTATTAGGAAATGGAAGACATACAAGACCACTGATAATCTCCCTCGATCTGGGGCTCCACGCAAGATCTCACCCCGTGGGGTCAAAATGATCACAAGAACGGTGAGCAAAAATCCCAGAACCACACGGGGGACCTAGTGAATGACCTGCAGAGAGCTGGGACCAAAGTAACAAAGCCTACCATCAGTAACACACTACGCCGCCAGGGACTCAAATCCTGCAGTGCCAGACGTGTCCCCCTGCTTAAGCCAGTACATGTCCAGGCCCGTCTGAAGTTTGCTGGAGTGCATTTGGATGATCCAGAAGAGGATTGGGAGAATGTCGTATGGTCAAATGAAACCAAAATATAACTTTTTGGTAAAAACTCAACTCGTCGTGTTTGGAGGACAAAGAATGCTGAGTTGCATCCAAAGAACACCATACCTACTGTGAAGCATGGGGGTGGAAACATCATGCTTTGGGGCTGTTTTTCTGCAAAGGGACCAGGACGACTGATCCGTGTAAAGGAAAGAATGAATGGGGCCATGTATCGTGAGATTTTGAGTGAAAACCTCCTTCCATCAGCAAGGGCATTGAAGATGAAACGTGGCTGGGTCTTTCAGCATGACAATGATCCCAAACACACCGCCCGGGCAACGAAGGAGTGGCTTCGTAAGAAGCATTTCAAGGTCCTGGAGTGGCCTAGCCAGTCTCCAGATCTCAACCCCATAGAAAATCTTTGGAGGGAGTTAAAAGTCCGTGTTGCCCAGCGACAGCCCCAAAACATCACTGCTCTAGAGGAGATCTGCATGGAGGAATGAGCCAAATACCAGCAACAGTGTGTGAAAACCTTGTGAAGACTTACAGAAAACGTTTGACCTGTGTCATTGCCAACAAAGGGTATATAACAAAGTATTGAGAAACTTTTGTTATTGACCAAATACTTATTTTCCACCATAATTTGCAAATAAATTCATTAAAAATCCTACAATGTGATTGTCTGGATTTTTTTTCTCATTTTGTCTGTCATAGTTGACGTGTACCTATGATGAAAATTACAGGCCTCTCATCTTTTTAAGTGGGAGAACTTGCACAATTGGTGGCTGACTAAATACTTTTTTCCCCCACTGTATGTACTATTGGCCAGCAGTATCGGTTAGTCCTCTGGTATACTTTGTTACATTTCTATCAAATGTTTGTCATTTAAATTGGCCTAAAACCACCTCTCTATTACTATATTGACACTCCGCCTGTTTTCTCATGCCAACAGACATACAAAAGAGAGGCCCATGACCTGCACATGACCCATAAGATTGGCCTTGTTGAAGCACTTTGTGGATTCCAGTTTACGTTGAAACACTTAGACGGCAGACAGATTGTAGTCAAGTACGCTGCTGGCAAAGTCATTGAGCCAGGTAAGAATTTGATATTTTGTACTGGTGAATATTAATCCATGCAGTATGTGAAAGTAGTGTTTCTATAATGCATTGTTTATTTTACAGGCTCGGTCAGAGTTGTGCGAGGAGAGGGGATGCCACAGTACCGTAATCCATTTGAAAAAGGAGACCTGTATATTAAATTTGATGTGCAGTTCCCAGACAACAACTGGATCAGCCCCGATAAACTCAATGTAAGTCATGATGGACTAGGAAAAGCCTTTCTTGTGTCCCTTTCTGTCACAAGCTTGAACATTATGGTACAGGTTCTATTATGGGATTGAATGACACAATTTGATCATTTGTTATACAAATCTGCCACTTGTGGTACCTCAGCTTTTAAACACCATTACTAATGATGATAATGGCATTTAAGAGCTACACATTTTAAGAGCCACACAAGTGACATTGTTCTCGCTAATGATGTGACCCTCTCCTCTGTAAACTCCAGGAGCTGGAAGACTTGCTGCCAACACGTGCCGAGGCTCCCATAGTGTCTGGGGACGCAGAGGAGGTGGACCTGCAGGACTACGACGTCAGCCAGGGCTCGTCTGGAGGACGACGTGAGGCCTACAACGACAGCTCAGATGATGAGGGAGGCCACCACGGCCCTGGAGTGCAGTGTGCCCACCAGTAGCATCTCACGCAGGGGAAAATGTATGTGTTGTCCCCCCGCTCCCGATCACGCATTCCTCACTCTCCTTGTGAGAACACCAGATAAGATGGAAAAATATCATTTCTCCTTTGCTTGGTGTGTAACTTGCATTTTTTTCATAGTATTTACAATAATTAATTTAAACTTACTATAAAATGCAGTTTTGGCCTCAGCCTCTGGACTGAGAGTTGTGAGTTAGGGGAGGGAGATCCTGAAAGGACACAAACATCACATTTTTAGGTTTGTATGTTTCTGTGCTTGATTTTTACCGCTTGATTTCTTTTTGTAGGTTTTTACTTTTGTTTTCCTTCCTATATAGAAAGAAATTCAAACATAAGACATTGTGTATAATATGAAATTGATTGTCGGTGAGCTTTATATCAGCTGCTCTTATACAGTGGTGTGATACAAACACCTGTATCTGGCCTCAACCCTGGTGCATGTTAAGACCGCATTGGTTCCTGCACTGATTAAACATCCAATCTAACGAGCGAAGCTGAAAAAATACCATTTAAAAGCGTCATAACTTCAGTGAAACAAGGTTTATTAAGTTGTTAAATAAACGTTCTTCAAATCTCAAACAGCAATACTGGATGTCTGTGATTCTGTCTTGTCATTGTCTGGGAAATTATTGACATCCGTCAGGAAAATAATATCTTAGTTACCGCCTCAGTCCTTTGTCATTTAATGTTGATGGGTATCATAGAGAATGATAGAGGCCTCTACTGGCCAAAAGGCCGTTTTTAGCATGGGCAGCACCATTGAGGGCTTCCACCATGCTTCCTCCATTTTAAGGTAGTCAACTAGGTGGGGATTCCTATGGGTTGTAGCCTCAATAGCACTGCCCATGTGGTCACAGATAAAGACAAGTCATCTATGGTAGGTATGTTCTAGTGCAGGGTTTCCCAAACTGTCCGGGGCACCCCCTAGGTGCACGTTTTGGTTTTTGCCCTAGCACTACACAGCTGATTCAAATAATCAAAGCTTGATGAGCTGGTTAGGTGTTTCCCAACTCCAGTACTCGAATACCCCCAACCGCACATGTTTGTTGACCTGGACAAACTCTACTGATTCAACTCATTGAGGGCTTGATTAGGGTGTACTTGTCCGTGGCTACAACAAAATGTGTGCTGTTGGGGGTACTCGAGGGCTGGAGTTAGGAAACACTGCTCTATGGCTGCGTTTACACAGACAGCCCAATTCTGATCTTTCCACTACTTGGTCTTTTGACCAATCAGGTCGGCTCTTGCCAATAATTGGGCAAAAGATCAGAATTGGGCTGCCTGTATAAACGCAGCCTAGGTGTCTTATGTTAGATGTGTAATTACACTGAACAAAAATAAACACAACATGTCAAGTGTTGGTTTCATGAGCTGAAATAAAAGATCCCAGAATTTTTCCATATGCACAAAAAGCTTATTTCTCAAAAAAAAAATTGCGCAAATTATTTTGCATCCCTGTTAGTGAGCATTTCTCCTTTGCCAAGATAATCCAGCCACCTGACAGGTGTGGCATATCAAGAAGCTGATTAAACAGCATAATCATTACCCTGGTGGACCTTGTGCTTGGGACAAAAGGCCACTAAAATGTGCAGGTTTGTCACAACACAATGCCACAGATGTCTCAAGTTTTGAGGGCGTGTGCTGACTGCAGGATTGTCCACCAGAACTGTTGCCAGAGAATTGAATGCTCAATTCTCTACGATAAGCTGCCTCCAAAGTCGTTTTAGAGAATTTGGTTGTATGTCCAACCGCAGACCATGTGTAACCACGCCAGCCCAGGTCCTCCACAATCTGGCTTCTTCACCCACAGGATTGTCTGAGACCAGCCACCCGACAGCTGATGAAACTGTGGGTTTACACAACTGAAGAATTTCTGCACAAACTGTCAGAAACAGTCTCAGGGAAGCTCATCTGTGTGCTCGTAGTCTTGACCTGACTGCAGTTCGGCGTCGTAACCAACCACAATGGGCATATGCTCACCTTCGATGGCCGCTGGAGAAGTGTGCTCTTCACGGATGAATCCCGGTTTCAGCTGTACCTGGCAGATTGCAGACAGTGTATGGCGTTGTGTGGGCAGGCGGTTTGCTGATGTCAACGGTGTGAACAGAGTGCCCCATGGTGGCATTGGGGTTGTGGTATGGGCAGGCATAAGCTACGGACAATGAACACAATTGTATTTTATCGATGGCAATTTGAATGCACAGAGATACCGTGATGAGATCCTGAGGCCCATTGTCGTGCCATTCATCCGCCGCCATCACCTCATGTTTCATTTAGCAGATGCTCTTATCCAGAGCGACTTACAAATTGGTGCATTGACCTTATAGCCAGTGGGATAACCACTTTACCCCAAAAAATATATATATTTTTTTGTTATTTATTTTAGTATTGTAAAAAAAATATAAATATTATCTTTTTTTTTTTTTGGAGGGGGGGTGGGGTAAGGGGGGTAGAAGGATTACTTTATCCTATCCCAGGTATTCCTTAAAGAGGTGGGGTTTCAAGTGTCTCCAGAAGGTGGTGAGTGACTCCGCTGTCCTGGCGTCGTGAGGGAGCTTGTTCCACCATTGGGGTGCCAGAGCAGCGAACAGTTTTGACTGGGCTGAGCGGGAACTGTGCTTCCGCAGAGGTAGGGGGGCCAGCAGGCCAGAGGTGGATGAACGCAATGCCCTCGTTTGGGTGTAGGGACTGATCAGAGCCTGAAGGTACGGAGGTGCCGTTCCCCTCACAGCTCCGTAGGCAAGCACCATGGTCTTGTAGCAGATGCGAGCTTCAACTGGAAGCCAGTGGAGTGTGCGGAGGAGCGGGGTGACGTGAGAGAACTTGGGAAGGTTGAACACCAGACGGGCTGCAGCATTCTGGATGAGTTGTAAGGGTTTAATGGCACAGGCAGGGAGCCCAGCCAACAGCGAGTTGCAGTAATCCAGGCGGGAGATGACAAGTGCCTGGATTAGGACCTGTGCCGCTTCCTGTGTAAGGCAGGGTCGTACTCTCCGAATGTTGTAGAGCATGAACCTACAGGATCGGGTCACCGCCTTGATGTTAGCGGAGAACGACAGGGTGTTGTCCAGGGTCACGCCAAGGCTCTTTGCACTCTGGGAGGAGGACACAACGGAGTTGTCAACCGTGATGGCGAGATCATGGAACGGGCAGTCCTTCCCCGGGAGGAAGAGCAGCTCCGTCTTGCCGAGGTTCAGCTTGAGGTGGTGATCCGTCATCCACACTGATATGTCTACCAGACATGCAGAGATGCGATTCGCCACCTGGTTATCAGAAGGGGGAAAGGAGAAGATTAGTTGTGTGTCGTCTGCGTAGCAATTATAGGAGAGGCCATGTGAGGATATGACAGAGCCAAGTGACTTGGTGTATAGCGAGAATAGGAGAGGGCCTAGAACTGAGCCCTGGGGGACACCAGTGGTGAGAGCACGTGGTGTGGAGACAGATTCTCGCCACGCCACTTGGTAGGAGCAACCTGTCAGGTAGGACGCAATCAAAGAGCGAGCCGCGCCAGAGATGCCCAACTCGGAGAGGGTGGAGAGGAGGATCTGATGGTTCACAGTATCAAAGGCAACAGACAGGTCTAGAAGGACAAGAGCAGAGGAGAGAGAGTTAGCTTTAGCAGTGCGGAGAGCCTCCGTGACACAGAGAAGAGCAGTCTCAGTTGAATGACCAGTCTTGAACCTGACCTGTTTTGGATCAAGAAGGTCCTTCTGAGAGAGATACAAGAGAGTTGCTAAAGACGGCAAGCTCAAGAGTTTTGGAGAGAAAGAAAGATGGATACTGTCTGTAGTTGTTGACACGGAAGGAAAATTTTGGGTTTTTGGGGGTAAATTTAAGACTGGAGGAAAAAAAACCAATAATTTTTTTGGGTGGAGGGGCCAGAAAAACCCGGGGGAAAAAAAAGGGGAGGAGGGGGGGAAATTTGACCCCTTGGTGAAATGAAGAATAAAGAGGGGGGGGAGAGGGAATGGGAAAAGGGGACGAGGGATAAAGAAACAACGGGAAAAGGAAAAACAAGGAAAATTTTAAGCAGGGGGGGGCCCTCCGGAAAAGAAACCAGCTTAAAGAAGCGAAAACGGTTTTGGAAAAAAGGGGCACTGAAAGAAAAGAGATTGGGTTTGGGGGGAAAAGTTTGGAGGAAAAAGGGGGGGCCCGGGGTTTTAACGAGGGGTGGGGTTTTTTAAAAAAAGGGTGAAAATCCGCCTTTAACAAAATGAGGAAAGGATGTTATGACCGAAAAAAAGGGCCCCGGGGAAAGGCTAAAGGGAAAGGGGGAAGCGGGAATTTTTGGGGGGGGGCCCCACAAGGTTGTACAAAAAAAGGGGAAAAAAAATTCCCCTTTTTCCCGGAAACCCCCAAACAACCCCCAAGGGGGGGGGTTGTTGGTGACAATTTCCCCCCCAAACCAAAAAAAAAATTTCGCCCACCTTAAGGGGGGGGACTTGAAAATTTTCTGCTGGGGGGAAATTCCCCAAAAAACCTTGATTTTCTTTTTTAAAGATTCATAGGGAAAGGATTATACCCTCGGGGGGGGGGGAAAAAGGGGATAATAAAAAAAAAAAAGGGGGGTAAAAGGGGGTAAAAAAAAAACCCCCCAAAAAAAAAAAAAAAATTTTTTTGCAGGGCTGGGGAAAAAACAAAAAAGGGGGGGGGGGAAAAAAGGGGGGGAGGGGGGGGAAAAAATTTTAGTGGGTCAAAGCAAAAAGGTTAAGTGTAAACCCCCCCAAATTTTTAAAGAACCGGGTTTTTGTTTGGTGAAAAAACCCCCAAAGAGGGGGGTTTTTAAACCCGGGGGGAAAGAAACCCCGTCCCGGTGGGTAAGCTCTTTGAGTTGTACTTCTTGACGAGAAGGTCTCGGAAATGTCTGGAGAAGGGGAGGGATCGGGAAGGGGAGGTTGGGGGCCGTGTAAAGGATTGTACACACACAATTCCTGAAGCTGAAAATGATTCTTCATGGCCACTCTCACCAGACCATACCCATTGAGATAGGGATTATGCGACAACTTCAGTTCCCACCCCACAACCCCAGCCTGAAGAGGATGGGACCCCCCCCCCTCTTTTACTTCATCTTTTGCTTGTTTTTTTTTTCCCTCGCGCTCCGGTAGGTCAGTATAAACAACAATTCCGCCGTGAGTGAGCGTGGAGGACGTCCGCGGTTCAATAAACCGTCGTCAAACGGCACTGTTCATTCTCTCGCAAAGTAGCTACGCTGCTCCTTTTTTCGGATCGCTCTCCCAGGCCCGGAGGGTAGTAACTCTGTGTGGTGTGTAATGTCAGTCTGTACAACGTCGTGACCTGTGGGTCAGAGCGTAAAATGTGCCTTCAAGGCTGTGACAGCTCTCCCCTACCTATCCCTTTTATCGGAGGATACCGGGCTTCTTTGTCTTGTGCTGACTTAGCCCCCCAGCAGGTGTGTGTGTTGAACACCGTCCTCCGGTGCTAACATTGTCACGATATCCTCCACTGCTGTGCTCGTTATCGAGGCCACCGGGCACTAGTCATACTTCGACTATTTAAAACTCGGACGGGTCACTTCCCTAGGAATATTGTTAGCCTAGCCAGCTAACATTATATGACGTGAGATTCGGATTGCCTCCCGTAGGCATCACTCTCCCCTGGTATTACTAGCATGCTACAAGATAGCTAGCTAGTTAGCTAGCCAGTTTACTAACTCAACCTAGCTGCCACTGTGTGTCGTCAGCTAGCTTAACAACTCCACATAG